GATAGCAGGTACTAGTCTGTTCAATAGTATTCTTGCAAGAATTTTTCCATCAATGGAGAGCAGAGTTATACCACGGTAGTTTGAGCAGTCTGACTTTACACCTTTTTTCTTATACAGAGTGACGATGATTGCATCACGAAAGTCTGACGGTATTTTGCCTTGTTCCCAACAGCACACAACTAGCTCACGAAATTTAGTGTGAAGTGCTTGGCCTCCATGCTTCCATATTTCAGGTGGGACTCCGTCAACCCCAGCTGCCTTGCCAGTTTTCACCTGCTGTATGGCCTTAAGAGTCTCCCCCATGGTAGAGGCTAAATCCAATTCGTTTTTCACCGGATGTTGCAGAATGTGCTGGATTCCTTCGCCTTGGACTACAGGATTTGCACTAAAGAGGGTTTGAAAATGTTCAGACCAACGATTCAGGATGGAGGTTTTATCTGTAAGAAACGTTTGGCCATCTGCACCAAGTAAGGGGCTTTGAACCTGGAATGTGGGTCCATACACTGCCTTCAGAGCCTCATAGAATCCTCTGTGGTCACCCAAATCTGCACATAGTTGAGTCTTTTCTGCTAGGTTGACCCACCACTTGTTCTGGATGTCTCTAAGTTTCTGTTGGAGTTTGCTACATGCAAGACGAAAGGCTGCTTTTCTTACATGGCAGAGTGGCTGAGCGAGGTGTGCTTGATGAGCAGATCTCTTTTTTGTCAGCAATTCCTGGACCTCCTGGTTGCTATCGTCAAACCAGTCTTTGTTTTTCTTTGAGGAGAACCCAATGGATTCTACGGAGGACTGCAGGATGCTGTTTTTGATATGTTGCCAAAGCGCTTCAGGAGAAGAATCTATAAGTTGGTCTTCAAGCCTAGTTTGAAGGTTAGCCTGAAAGCTGTCCCTCACTGCAGCTATTTGAAGATTATCAACATTGAGCCTCCTCCTTGGAATGCCACCCCTCTTAGGTTTGGGCTTGAAGTGGAAATTAAGTTTGCAACGCACAAGGCGGTGATCTGTTTGGCATTCTGCACTAGGCATCACTCTGGTCTGGCAGACATCACGAATATTTCTCTGGCGCACTAAAACATAGTCAATATGGTGCCAATGTTTAGATCGAGGATGCATCCAGGTTGTCTTCGAGCTGTCTTTCTGCTGGAAGACAGTGTTGGTGATGGTAAGCTGTTGCTCTGCACAGAACTCTAGTAAGAGATGACCGTTATCATTGCAGCTGCCAACACCGTGCTTGCCTTGTGGTGCAGGTTGGTAGAGAACTACTGTCTTCTTCAAGATGACTTCCAGCCCCAAAATCTCAGCCGCCTCCGCAAAGCAAGGTGTTAAGTGCTGCAGAGCTACTTCTGTGTGTTCAACAAGGGCGGCATTGTCAGCAAAAAGCAGCTCACGGACAAGATGATTTAGGGTCTTAGTGTGGGCCTTCAGTCACCTTAGATTGAATAGGCTACCATAGGTACGATATCGAATATAAATGCCATCTTGTTTGTCAAGTCTATCATGGCCCTTTGGAGCATCATGCTGAAGAAGATTGTGAACAAAGTTGGTGCAAGAACGCAACCTTGTTTCACACTACTGGGCATTGGGAAGGGCTCAGAGAGTGCATCACCATATCTGACTTGGCCGCGCTGATCCTCATGTAACAGAATAATCATTTTGAGGAACTTGGGGGGACAACCTAATCATTCCAAGATCAGCCACAGGCCTTTTCTGCTCACAGTGTCAAAAGCTTTGGTGAGGGCAATGAAAGTTACATAGAGCCCCTTATTCTGTTCTCTACACTTTTCTTGCAGTTGTCTGAGAACAAATAACATGTCTGTGGTACTTCTATTAGCTCTGAAACCACACTGACTTTCAGGTAGAAGTTCTTCTGCAACAGCAGGTACTAATTTGTTCAATAGTACTCTTGCAAGGATTTTTCCAGCAATGGAGAGCAGAGTTATACCTCGGTAGCTTGAGCAGTCTGACTTTACACCTTTTTTTTTATACAGAGTGATGATGATTGCATCATGAAAATCTGATGGTAATTTATCTTGCTCCCAACAGTGCACAAGTAGCTTGTGAAATTTAACATGAAGTGCTTGACCTCCGTGCTTCCAGATTTTGGGTGGGATTCCACTTACCCCAGCTGCCTTGCCAGTTTTCACCTGCCTTAAGAGACTCTCCCATGGTAGGGGCTATATGCAATTTGTTTTTCACCAGATGTTGTAAAATGCACTGGATTCCTGTGCCTTGGACTACATGGTTAGCACTAAAGAGTGTTTGAAAATGTTCAGCCAACAATTCAGGATGGAGATTTTATCAGTAAGAAGCGTTTGGCCATCTGCAGTAAGTGGCTTTGAACCTGACATGTGGGTCCATACACTGCTTTCAGAGCCTCATAGAATCCTCTGTGCTCACCCAAGTATGCACATAGGTGAGTCTTTTCTGCTAGGTTGAGCCACCACTTGCTCTGTATGTCTCGAAGTTTCTGTTGGAGTTTACTGTATACAAGACGAAAGGCTGCTTTTCTTACACGGCAAGATGGCTGAGTGAGGTGTGCTTGATGAGCAGATCTCTTTTTTGTCAGCAGTTCCTGGACCTCCTGATTGTTATCACCAAGCCATTCTTTGTTTTTCTTTAAGGAGAACCCAAATGATTCTTCAGAGGACTGCAGGATGCTATTTTTATTATATTGCCAAAGCACTTCAGGAGAAGAATCTATAAGGTGGTCTTCAAGCCTAGTTTGAAGGTTAGCCTCAAAGCTGTCCCTCCCTGCGGCTATTTGAAAGTTATTAACTTTGAGCCTCCTCCTCGGAATGCCTAAAGTTGGGGGAGGCCTTGGGTGATATGGTTTAGAGCGAGGTGTCCCTGCCCATGGCAGGGGATTGGGACTTGATGATCTTAAGGTCCTTTCCAACCCTAACTATTCTATGATTCTATGATCTTTGCTTGTGACTGACAACTGCTCTTTTCTGTCCAGCAGTCCAACTTCAGTTAGGCTGTCCAGACTGTTCTGTCACTTAAGAGCAGAAGCTGTTAGTGCTCTCAGAATCATTAAAAAGTACAAGAACAAAATTGTCTGTTTCCTAGGAGTATTCAGTATCTGTTGCATGACAATTTGACAGGTTTGTCTTTATTTGTTTGTTTTTCTTATTTGGTCAATAATACTTTCAAAAGAGTGTTTTAATAAGCCTATTTTATCCATCTTTCCTTCCTGGTAAGGAAAAAAAAACCCGAGCTGTAATAGTATTTCTTTTGGGGGATATGATATCACTGTCAAATGGGGTATATTACTAGGCCTGAAAATGATAATTCTGTGCAGAGTACTTAATCTGTAATTTAGCTTTCAGTGTGGGGTTATTTTTTATTTTTGTGTGGGGGTTTTTCTTGGGTTTTTGTTTTTTTTTTTTTTTTTGCATGTGTGTGTTTTGGGTTTTTTTTTTTCAGTTAGACTTTGACAAGCTTGGAAACAGAATTTTAAAGTCTTGCTCTCTGTCTTTCAAACACATGTCGAATTCCAGGAACACGGTTTGCTAACTTCACTTGCAGTGCCAGTGCAATGTCTTCACTTTCCAACTATCTGTATGTCTTTATCCTGGGACAGCTGATGCTGGGAATTGGAGGAACACCACTATATACTTTGGGGACAGCCTTCATTGATGATAGTGTTGCAAAACACAAGTCTTCCCTTTATATAGGTAACTTTTAAAACTACTTATAGCACGTTGTCTGGATAGGTCATAGACTGCAATACCTTTGAAATGTTTTTATGAATTTCTCTAATTAAATCTGCCTTGTCATTTTTCACTTAGGTGCATAAAGTTTTTCTATATCAGCTACTGTGTGTGTTAGGTAGTAGTCTGGTGTGTCAAGTCTTGTCAATAGTTGTTCCGTGGAGTGTGGTAATGCTACTTTGTACCTCTCTTGCTGTTTTTTCATGTCATTAACTTAAGGTTATTAAGTGGCTAATATAGCCTGCCTGTCAATAACAGAATGAGCTGTAGAGAAAGTTTGCTTTTAGTGTCATTCTTTGAAAACTACCGTGTATCAGGCTAGTAGCCAGGCCTTAACTGTATCCTGTATCAGATTTATTTACCTTCTAACAGTAATCTGTGCCCTCAGTGGAGGAGCGCTCCTGTGCATCATGTGATCAGTGCAGTTCTCTAGCCACATACAAATTTGGCACTTCAGGAGGAAATAGTAAAAGTATCTTTCTTTAGTTGACAATAAAAGGATTGTTTAGAAACATGGAGAATGTGTCTTACTGCAAAGCTGTTTGAAAACAAAGGAACAGTATTTCTTAGCAGTGGTTTTTAATTTTTCCTAATCAGCATTCTTTTGGTTATGTGCATTTTTACTGCCAAGTTCATTACAGTATAAGTGTGTTTTCTGTGGATATGAAGATGTTTCCTATTATCCCCATTTTAGGTGTAAGTTGGTAAAAGTATGTTAGCTATACTGGTAACTGCAGGAGGAATTCAAAACATCTTAGATTCCTGGACTGTTTTCCAGACTAAATCAATATTTCTAGGGGGCAAAATTGAAATCATCATCTATTTGCATGCAGCTCTTGCTTAATTGTTCTAGACAAGCCACTTCATTTGATCCCAACAAATAGAATAATTGCACGTGTTAAATCTTAAGTAAGAAAGACAACTTTTACTTTTCCTATTTCTTTATATTGAGAGAGAAGATTACACTTTCATTTGTTTCTTCTCAGGTCAGTGAATTAAATAGAGCAGAATTACAGATGTCTGCATGATGAGGGGATTATGAAGTAGCCTGAAAACTACTAGGAAAATGCTGTCACTGTTCAAACTTAAAAATAACAGATCAATATAATAGATTCATGTTTGCACAATCTTCAGACAACTGCTGAGTTCAGAAGAACTCTGTTTATATATATATTCTGTCCAGTATAACAGAACTAAAATGCAAGTGAGTGGACAGTTAGCTACAGTAGTCCTTAATTATTTTTCTTGCTTCTATGCAATGTATTGAAGATTTAAAATACTTTGTGTTGCTTTGCCTAATGTGAGAAGGATTGTGCAACGCAGCAAAAAGAAGCGAACTAGAACTTTCTTTTAGTGTCTGTAAATAGCTCCTAGCATCTTAAAATGTAAGCTTGCAGCTTGTAGGTTGGTAGTTTCTTTCTGTTCTGAAGCTGGGTGCATTTTCATGAGTGCTCTCTTGCTGAACTGAGGTATCTGCATCTAAAGCCAATAAAAAGTTAAGCAGTTCCAAATGGTAATTTAAACTGAATGGTCTGTAGGAGAAAATAGGCACCTTCCTAGCTAGGTTTGATGTTCTGTATATTGAATGTGGACTTCCATTGGAAAGATACTTTCAGCATGTCATTATTTCCAAAATATAGGAAAACCTGGGACATGTCAACTGAATGTTTACTTTACTTACTGATACTTAAAAGTCCCCTTCTGTGTCCCTTCCTCATCTTGAACTCCTTCCCCACCCCCAATCCTCTTGCTGTCTAAAGAGCATGAAATAATACCAAATAGTGAGGAAGCAACTTTGGAAACAACTGAGAAATTCCGTTTCTTCAACTTGAAGAGTTGCATCAAGCTGAACCTCTGAGTTGCAGCTTTTAATGAGAGTTTCAGATTTTCTTGTTAAGAGACAAGTACAAATTTTGTCTTCTACATGATGTAGTTGAAGTAGGACAGTAAAAAAAAACAAAACCAAAACAGATTGAGTTACGAAAACCATTTGGTCCAAAGCTGGTTCAGGGTGTTCTAAAACAATGCTTAAAAAATGTATGGTGAACTTGATGTATTTTGTCTTCTAGGAATTGGTTATGCCATGTCACTGCTGGGTCCTGCTTTTGGCTACGTCTTAGGAGGACAGCTACTTAATATTTATATTGATATCGAGATCCCAGAAAGGCAGGCTGCAACTTAGTCTTTTGCTTTCTGTTTTCTTTCCCTATTAATTCTTATTAAAATCTTCATCTTTTCTCCATCTAACAAGGAAAAAGTGGTTTTGTTTGGAAAATACTGCATTTTCAAGAGCTTCTTTAACTTGGTAACAAGGTGCATTCACAAGGGCTTCTAGCAAATGAGTTACTTCCCACAGTGAGTAGTCACTCCATTGTGTGTGAAAGTTTCACTGTAGTGCAAATACTTTGTTCTAGCTTTTTGAGATGCTAGCTGTTTTAAAGCTGATTAACAAAAAATGCTTTATCTTCTGCTAAGTTGCTAATTTAAGGTTAGATTGCAACTACTGATTTATTGTGCAGAAAGTTTCCCTGAGGTGGGATATGGGGAGTAGGATACTGCTACTTACTTTATGGGGAAGAGCTTGATAGAAAATTTACCAGTTGAGTATTAAAAAATGACAGAAACTGTATTACTATACAGCAACTTCATTAGTATTTTTATTTCCTCTCTTCTGGGGACTTTAGATCAATACAGTGATACTCTGAACTTCTGTATTGTCTTTCACTTAACTCATTGATACTTTCTAAACAGTTTTCTCAGTATCTTAATGCTGCAGAATCTTGAAATCAGGGTGAAATAGAGACCTTCAAATCAGAATTTGAGTTGAAAGCTGTATTTAGTAGAATGCAGTATTATAATAGAGCTGGTGATTGTGCTTTAAACAAGCCACCAATAAATTAAATATATGTAGAAAACAAAAAAATACAAAATTAAAATGCCTTCTGTTAAATTAATGTTTAAAACGAACAAAAGATCCAGCTCACTGACATCTGAAATTGCTGATTTAAATTCACAAATTGTAAGCCTACCTTTTGCAAATTATTTTTCCAGTACGAAGATGGATCCAGATGACCCACGTTGGCTTGGAGCTTGGTGGATAGGATTTCTTGTATGCTTTGTTGCAATTTGGCCTCTTATAATACCTTTTTCATGCTTTCCAAAGTACCTACCAGGTAAACATTTAACAGTAATGGGCTACATTGGAAGAGAGATTTGTTTTACTTCTGGATTACAGGCTGCTGGGCTGAGTGATTGCTCTGTTTCCGTTTACCAGTTAACAGTTTTTTGGCTAAAACCTGTGATAAATACCTTGTTTCCAATATGCAGCGTTTAAAACAAGCAAATTAGGGCTTTGTGTATTTAATGATGGATGGTAGCACTGGAAACCAGTAGAGCATGGAAAGTGACAGTCACAGTTTGGAAGGTGCTTGCAGCTGAGCACCCAGGACTATATTTGAAGATACTGTGTTACCCATCAAGAAACATAAGGAAATTTCATTGACTTAGCACATGCATACATGCATTATTGTCTTTGACTCTGTTGCCTTATTGTTTTGGGTGGAATAGTAAGACATGAATCAAAGTATCCCAGAGCAGTCGTCTAAAAAGGAAGTTTAATACAATTTCTGTTCAGGTAGTTATTATCTAGGAGTCCCTTGAAAGAGCATCTAAAGGAATGTATTGTGCTTGCCTGGAAAGAGAAATTACGGAGGAAAAGAAACAATTCAGTAGGGGCCTGGTGAGAATGTGAGGACAATTAAAAAAAAATAAATTGAATGAGTTTCAGGATAGCTTGAAGTTCTTAGGATATTTCTAATAATATCTTCTTACAACCAAGGCCTTCTAATGGAAGCATGATGCTTTCAGCCAAATTCTTCTTTCTGCAGCAGTATGTTGTTGATACTTTTACAGATCTGTACCAGTAAAATAGTCAAGAATACCTAAAATGTCTGAGCTAGTTTTGTGAAGGAAAGTAAACACTTACTTTGTTTTTTCTGACTTCAAGGCCAAGAGCACGGGTTTTCAATGATTTTGTTGTCAATAAATATGTCCATTTGTAGGAACAGCAAAAATACAGTCTGAAAAGATCTCTGAAACACATGATGATGGAAGTGAGCTGCTTGTTGAGACCCGGAATAATGGAAAAAGCTTTAAAGACTTCCCTGTGGCTCTCCTGGTAAGGGAATAATGATTTTACTAAAACTGGTATATTCTGAGAAAAGATTTATTTTTTTTTTTCAGGTAACACATAAATGTTGAGAAAGGTAATTGCTTTTTTTTTATTGTGTTGTGGTAGGTAAGTCTCCAGTGCTGCTGATAATTTAATGCATATTCATTTTGTTGATGCTTAGGACCGTTAAAGTAAGAAAAGCATATTAGTGAAGTTCCAAATGAGAGTATCTGCTTTAAAATACAGTGACTTATAGTTTACATGATACTACAGTGAAATAACTTCGAGTGTAATGCTAATTTTCCCACACAGATACTAGTGAAGAATCCAGTGCTTATGAGTCTAATAGTAGCCAGTACTTCAGAAGCTTTAGTTGCCACAGGCTTTGCCACATTTCTACCAAAGCTGATAGAAAATCAGTTTGGGAAAACATCAAGTTTTTCAGCAACTCTTGCAGGTAATGTGGCTTTTCATTTTTACATGTTCTATTCATTTGTGCTGACATTATAACATTATAGTTTATATAGGCATCTTGTGTTTGTCAAGATATTGTGGATAGACTTAACGTGAAATGCAGTTTTCATAGCAGAAATTATATTTTTGAATTTTCTTGCCTGTCCTGTGAGGTTAATTCACCAAGGGTACTTAATTCACCAAGGGTGCACATCTAATCATTGTCTGATAGTAACCATAATTTATTCCTTCTTCTTGTGAAAAAAACATTTATTTTTCCTGATTAAAAATCAGCTGAAGGAACATTAAGTCTTAGTTCCTACTGCCTATGAAAGGCAGCTGGAAAAAAAGCAGCGCTTACTACAGGTAAGCCAGGGCTTGACCTGGCTTTTCCATTCTTCAGTTCTACCATGTTACAGTGAGATAGCTTACCATAAAATGACTAATCAGGTTATATTATAAAATTACTGTGCAGCTGCTTCTATGGTTGCCTTATTGTGCTTACTCCCATTATCCAGTATGCAGACCTAAGAGGTAGAACAGAGGATTATGAAAAGATGAATATTGGAGAAACAAATGAAAAAAATCCGATGGAAGAGGTGCACTAGTTAGGGTCACATGATTAACTCTGACACAATTACTTCTGAAGAACAGCTTCCAAATCAAGGCAGATAGGCCAACAGATGCTTACAGTGTGGCAGACTTAATATTTCTGGAATATGTCTTGCAAAATTACTTCAGCTGTATACTGCTGCAATGTAAGCATATGCTAGTTGAAGTGTTCTAAGAGAAATATCTTTGGGAGACACTTTCTGAATTACTTATTTCCCTGGATAATACCAGATAGTACTTTCCCCATTCAGACATCATAGCTTCAAAATTGAGTATTTGCAAGTTTTGCATAGAAATTCATTGGATTACATGCTCAACTGTTAAGCAGTAATCAACAGTGAACTGGAAAACAGCATATTCCTTTGTCTATAGATCTATACCCTATTGCCTATAGAATTTCGGAGTGGAAAATATTGATAGCATTAACCAAATGTACAGCTTTAAATGGCTACACTAATTTTGAAAGCTATCTGTATCTGAGCTAATGTTGAGCTAGCTAGTCTCAGTGTTACCCATGACTATGTTAACTACCTAAAGCACTTTTGACTCTGTATGTGGCCTGTGCAGCTCTGCCATGGTAATTGAACTGTCTTTAAAAATAGCTGTCTCAGGTCAGTGCATGTTAAACTGAGTTCTGCGTGGTATTGTAGATTAGCCATAAAAGTGCTCAGATAGGTATCTGGACTCCTAATAGTATGAAGAAGATTAATTATGGGTTATAGGGACAGCAAAACTGACCCACTGTTCCAGACTTTCTAATCTATTTTTTTCTAATCTTTATGTAGATGCCTTATTGTATCTTTGTGCTGTCTCTTGTATAGTGGTGATTATGTTCTTTTATTAAGAAGTTCAAAATGTGAATGTATAACAAAGAACATGCATGTGAAGAATGGACTGAAGCGGTGAAAAATCATTACCTGTTTTCATTAAGTGGCTCAGGGATTCCTGCCCAGTATGTAGTACACTTTAAGTAATTGAGTTTTGCTATGTTGAACTTGGGTTTTGGACAACTGTATATCAGTTATGCTGTCAAGTTGAACTTCTGGAAAGGCTAAAGATAGTGTGAAGGCAGAATAAATTGCTCATGCTAACAGGTTCTAGTAAGATGGTTTGAAAATGTCATCACATTGACTGCATCTTAAGATACAGGTAACTTTGTGATTTTCTTTTTCTTTTTTTTTGTGATAAAATTGCATTTTAAATTGCTTCACTAATTATATCTTTCATTTTTATGTAATTGCTGGTGTCTTGTTTTCCTCTAGGGCTTGTATTAATTCCAGGAGCAGCACTAGGCCAAGTCGTAAGTGGCATTTTGGTTTCCAAGTGCAAAATGGATTGCAAAAGCATAATCAAGTTCATGACAGGCACTTGTTCAGTGGCCCTACTATTAAACACAGTGTTTTTATTTGCTAAATGTGGGAATGAACCTTTCGCAGGTGTCTCTGAAACTTATAATGGGTAAATATATTTTAATGAACTCTTGGGTTTGGTGATAAACTTTAAAATAAGTAAGCTACTTCATAGAATGCAAAACCCTTAAAAATGTCATATATTGGCTTTCTGTATGAAATTGAAGTGCTTTATAGAATTCTAAAACCTTGATCATGGAATCTTTGTCAGATTAAGAAAATATAATAATACATTGCCTGCAAAACGATCTGAGCAGGCTGGTCCTGCTTGCAAAAATCCCAGCTTCTGTAACCATTTTAGGTGTAGCCATGGTATTGACTAAAGCTAATGTTCTGTCTCTGCAGAAGTAGCATGTATTTTTGTATCAGGTTTTATTAATCAGCTCTTGACAATCTTGACAGTTTTTGAGTCTGCTTGTCAACATTTTCATGAGAGCCCTGAGGTGAACTGCACCTTACACTGATTGAAAATTTTTCCATAGGAAAACTAAGACATTATTGTAGCATCAGATTCTAGCATATCTAGCCTCCATTTATAGTGAAAGGTGTATTTTTTTTTCCTGGTAAAATGGCTGATAGAGACAGAAATTTAATGCCCAAGAGAGCATAGCTCAATTGGCCAACTTGAAGAATAAAATTGGTGGAGTAATATGTCTAACTGAAACATAATTAAAAATACTTTTGCCTAATATGTGTAGGAAGACTTCTCCAAATAATATGTGCTTTCCTTTAAACAACACAATTCTCATTCCTTATAAGAATGTAGTGTATTGCACATCTTTAGATATTTGTAATAATTGTAATAAAAATCCTAGGATGAATGTTCTTCCTGTTTCTATGAAGGAGGGTAGATAGCTGTGCCAAAACTGTGCTCTCAAGCAGTCAATTATTCTGTCATGAATTGACAGAGCCAGAGGCAACTCCAGCTGTTAGAAGGTCTGCCAAAAAGCCAGATGCTGCTGTGCAAAATAACTCTAGTAGACTAGTAGCTATGGACTAGCTGCCATTTGAAAAGAAATCATAAGTATGAGCAGCCTGCTGTGTAACTTACTATGTAACTTACCAGTATTTTTTTTGTTTCTCCCAAATCCCTCATTTCAACAAAGATTTAGGCAGCACTATCTTGTAAAAAACTGTAACCTATGCTTTGATGCATAAAAAGGCATTTGAATCCTAGGATGGGGAAGAGTGTCTCTACACCTACCGACACAGTTGCATGAAGTATGCAGTGAAAATACAGAAGATGGATTGAGGGGGGGAAGTTAGTTTTGTAGCCTCTAATACATATAGGTAATACTTCTAGGAAAAATGGTAAACATCTAATAAACAGACATACATAGTTTCTTTACTTGGCATTATTATGCTTTTTGACTGACTTAATATAAACACATAACAAATAGAAGAATGCAGGAAAGTCGCATCTTACTCACTGAGACAACTAAGTGCATAAAAATCACACAATGTGAAGTCTATTAATTTTCCTAGATCCTTCAAGGGTATCATTGACATAAACATAACTGACATATTAAAAAAACTTCCCCAAAGTAGTGACATGAAAGCCTAATCAGATATTTCTCAAGTGTCTCATTTAGGCAAATGTAAAACTAAGTAAAATAGCTAACCTTAGGTTAACAGGACAGAAATTCAGAGGGCTTAGAGACAATTGTGATTGAAGGCAGTTAGTCTTCCAGTTCTCTAAGAGAGTAGAAATTTAATGCCATGATACCTTAACTGTTCATTTGTACTTCCTTCTTCTTAAAGCAAAGTTAACACTCATTCTGATCTCATCTTTCATCTTTACAGTTTGATGTGTCTATTGACAGGAAATTCAAAGGTCAGGGTTGACATTTGATGCTTAAAACATAGCTGTAGTGTGAAAAAATACTAGCTGTAAGATTACTGTGGACACTTCAGAACTGTGTTAACTAGGATGCAGACACTGGTTGTGGAAAGTTTATAGTTACAAATTGAGCAAAAGAATCTATATTCAGCAACTGAATACTGAGGAAGTTATATAGAAAATAGTATGTGAAGCTATCTAGATTCCTATACCAGGTGCTGTGATAATAAGCAGCTGACAAAAGGTAAAGCTGAATTGATTTTCTTCCTTGGTTAAATACAGTTGACTTGTGTTTAATAGTTCTGTGTAACTTCAGCAGTTGTGTAGTTAGCTAGTCCTGAAATAACTAACTCTGCTCAGTATCCATTATAAGCAATGGTTCAGTTTTATGTAATTCAGTGTTACATGTTGGATTGTAGTTTCTTGGATATACAACCTGCATCAAAATAGTGGCACTAATGTAGTGCCAGTTCTGTATCTGCTTTCCATGAAGCAACAAGCGACTAAAATATATACCAGAAGCTTTAACAAATTTATAAGCTTGTGGAAGAGTAGGCAAGTGCCTGATTCCTGCTTATGTTATTGAACAAATTCTTCTGAAATAAATTATGAGTGTTCTGAGACTTGAGTTGGAAATGGATGCAGATTAGTTTTTGTGGAGATTTTAAAATCATTAATGGCAAGCATTCTCTTTCTTTTGAAAAGTAGCTTGGAGCTGGGGAGTGGGGGAGGATTTTTTAAGTTCAGTGCTAGAACCACACAAGTACAGGGTCCCTTTGGAGTCCATATTTTAGTGAACAAAGTATGTTGTTTGTAGTAACTCTGCTTATTACTAGATAAGGCTATAAACAGAGCTAATGTGGATTACTTTGCCCAGTATTTCCTTGAAAACTTGAAGAAGCAGAAATGCACTGACTACTTCTGTAGTTCCATGCATTCCAGAAGGTCTCTGGTGCTCCTTGTTTTGCTTTGCTATGAAAGAACACCCAACCTATAGAGCTTTATAAGACCACTTAATGCTGGGCTTCGTTAGAAAAGAGATGTTAGAATAAGTTCCATGTCAGAAGAGCCTACACTAAATTGTGTTTCTCGTGTATGTTAATATTTTTCTCTAACTATGCATAACTAAGTATTTTTAGTCCCTCTTTGTAGGTCAGGGAACAGAGATGTTGTCTGCCCATGTAAACAGAAGAAATGTTGCTTCTGAATTGATTACATACTTCTAGGCTTGACATGCCTCATAGGTTAAAGAGTCTCTGTGCAAACAAAGCTATGATTAGTGCATTTATGGTTCACTGTAGTAGCGCTTTAAGCCAAAGCGAGCTAACTTTGATTCTTCTATCTATGAAGAATGAACTAATGTAACTTAATAGGATTCAACTGTACAACCACCAAACTAAGTATATTGGTAGTTATGATGTCCTTCATATTTCATGTACAGCTTGAATTCTATGTAAGTTATCGCCATAATTATTAGATAAGTTATTTCTCTACTTAGTATTTGTGCCCATTTTAAATTCTCTTGAAGAAATCTGTCTTTTAGGTAGTGAATCTGGTAACCTGCAGTTGGCAATACAATATTTAATTTACTGACAGTGCTAGTATCCTGGTATCAGCTGCCTGAACTCTTAATCTGTGAAACTTCTTTACTTAGTAATGCACTGTTAGGAAATCAAGGGGTGTAATCTATTTTCTTCAGTGAAAACTTAAGAAGGTCCCGCACGTCATAAACTAATATTTTATTTAGCCCCACTTATAATAAAGTGGGGCTACTTCAAATACAGCAATACTTTGGCCTATACTGGAAGTAAATGCCTAAATTGAGAGTAGTTATAATAAGCAAGAGATAAATTATACTCTGTTCATTAGTTATTCCCGAAACAGTAAGAACACCTTTGAGGTCCTTGTGGGTGTGATAAGACTTCGTATGTCCTACCACTCTGCATTTAGTATGTGCAGCCATCTTGATGCTTTAACAATGTAGACATCTGTGTAATAGTGTTTAAAATACAAAAATGCAATGGGTTTGCAAGTGTGCTTTAATCCAAAGCATGGAAAAAATTTAGGAATGTGACCAACAGAATAAATAATGCCAAATACAGCTTTTAATTTTCTTGATATTTTTTTCCTTAAAAATCTAAATAGAACAAATTTAAATTAATGAGTGTGGAGGAGGGAGGAGATGATCCAAGAATCATGTTGAGACACAGTTTTGTCATCTTTTTTGTGAATGGAAATTAGAGGAATAATCTATGAAAGGAATAATAGTACAAAAATAACTTGGTATAGAATAAATGGAAAGAGTTGTAAGTACTAAGAACGTGGCTTACTTTTAAACAAAAAAAGTGCATAAACCAGCTGAATATTTTGAGATTTATCATCCTGTAAATACTGCATTACTCATTTATATGTCTTCTGGTTTTAAGCTACTTTATTAAAAGCCTATTAACTTTTACCTTTCAGAACAGGCATGCTACATAACTTAACAGCGCCATGCAATGCTAACTGTGGATGTTCACGGTCTATGTACTACCCAGTTTGTGGCAGAGATGAAGTACAGTACTTCTCTCCTTGTTTTGCAGGATGTGCATCACTTGTTATTAACAAGATGAAAAAGGTACTTTATACTGTGAAGGCAGCTAACATGGTCTGTTCTGGTTACCTGCAAAATACATTCTGTATTGAAAATATTCTTCCCTTAGTATGACAGCAAATAATGGTATTTATGAATCAGTAAAAGTTACTACAAGAAAAATGGATGTGGATTGGAAACACATATCTAAGTAGGATGAATGTTGGTATGTGTCATTGTCCAATACTCTGACCAGGTGCTTTTAGATATTCCACTTGTGGGGGTATAATGTGTAATATCAAATTTACTTGTGACAGATGATGTTACACAGGATTTATGATTTAGCGGTGTGATAGAAATATGCTGAAAATACAGTACGAGTTACATTTAACAAAACATCAGTCTCAATACGAAGTTCAGTCACAATACCAATGTGATTCCTGTTACTGGTCTTTATTACATACTCGTCTCCCTCTGCTGAGCCTTCCCCATCACTGTGTGCATACCTAGGTTGAAACTAGGTCAAGTCCATTCAAAGCTCTCTTCAAAATTATTTTGCTGGTTGCTTGATTTTTATAATTTATGTTGGGCTGAGCTCCTTTCCTACCCTCGTGCTAGTCTGACTAACTCAGGGAGATTTTCACAATGTATTAATGAACTCGAGGAGAAACTTTTGCACCATTAGTTGATCTGGTCAACCGACATAGTTGTTTCTTTTCTGTATAGGTTTTTTGCAATAGATGTGGTCATTCGTATTTTTGTATAATATTATGTACTGCATATCATCATGCCACTAACTCTAAAATCTTCAGTTTTAAGATTTTGGTTTGTTTGAACTGTGTGGGTTTTTATTTTAATGCTTGTACCTAAAAACTTGCTTCACACAAAATGGAGACTATAGTGGTCTTTAGATCCCAAAACCAAAAATATCTTTTGCTCAGGTGAGCTGCATCAGTCAAGCTCTGATGAACCACTTTTAAAAATGAGGGTTACGGTGTCATGTAATCATCAGGAAATGGACTATTTCTCCTATGGTACAGTCAGGAGTTATTCCTTGTATCTAGTGTGATCCTAACCCAATTAACATCTGCCGTATTAGTATTACTTAATGTCATTCTTGACCTAATCTTTCTTTTATGAATTATTTGTAGATGTACCACAACTGTTCCTGTATCGGGAAACCAGAAAGACAAGCTGGTTTACAAGACCTCTTCTATGAAGCTGTCTCTGGGAAATGTCCAACACAATGCAAACTTTTACCTTTGTTCCTGACCTTGTTCTTTTTTGCTGTTGTTTTTACATTTATGGCTGTTACTCCAACAACTGTGGCCATTCTCAGGTACCCTTTTTGGAGCTGAGAAATAGGTAGATTTCTTATGAAAGCTCAGATCAGTGAAATATTCTAATTTATTTTGCTTTGGAATGTGCACTTAAACCAATGTGCGAGGGACTTCTTATTTTAGTACTTTGTGTAGTAAGCAAGCAGCTCTCGAAGCAGAGGACTGTCACACCATTGTTCACTAGTTCTGTAATTACGTTTGGTTAGTAGATTTAACATTTCTGTATCTTTCCTACTTGTGGTAAAATCACACCTTTATGGGAGCAGTCCTCTGACTGTTTTAGTCAAAACAAGAAAATGTACTATATGCTTGGATAAAGAAAGTATAAAAGTGGCCTGTGAAATCCTGTGTTGCAGGATTTCAGATTGTACCAGAAAAAGAACAAAATAGCAATCAGTCTTTTATTCTCAACCTCTGATTCCTGTCTGAGTTCAGAGTTCTGACTTGCAAAATTGAAGTTTGTTGAGAACTGTAGACTACCTTTCATACGATATTGATGTTATATGTATGGTAGTCTATAATATAAAATGCAACAGCATGTATATGGCTGTTAACCAGTGGTTTGACTCTTTCAGATTGGTGAAATTCATATGCAAGAAAGCTAAATCTTTTTTTTTATTATTTTTTTTAAATACACGAACCTCATTCTGAAAGTAAAGCTCTTTTAATTTATGTTGAAATCTGACTTGCACCTCTAACACTTCTATAGAGAAAAAGTTCATGATGCATAGGAATACATGCAGTATATATGTAATGCTTTGAGAGGGTATGATTAGATGCTCTTTTTACACCTTCCTAGACAGGAAGTTTGGGAGGGGAATGATACACTACAACAGTGATTTGTAGAAATTTCTGCTTCAGGGTTGGTGTAAATCTAGAATTAACAGCTTCGAATTAACAGTTTGTTGTGTTAGTGTTAAATCAGAATGATGTGAAGTGTTGCATCATCTTCAAATCTGAGCTGACATAGTTTTGTAGTCATAGTTTTATTTAGATAATTCTAAGCACTTGGATTTTTTTAATCTTTGTATACTTCGACTGAAATAGTGAAACAGTTTTTATGGAGGACTGTCGAGCATTTTAAATGTGCAAACCCTAATTTAAATACCTAAATCTTGTAATAAATTACTACATTATGTTCTGATATTTTTTCAGCAGGCCTGTTTTGTTTAGCTTCAAGTTTAAACCCATGTGTTTGTGAAAGTGTTCTAGTGCTAGAAATAACAACCTGCACTATGCAAAGCTAATGCTTTCCTCTGCTTTCCTGTATGGGTATGGAGTTCCTAACAGTGGCTTCTCATAATCTCTCATCTTGGAAGTTTTTCTGTGGTTGTCGTACATAATCCAGAAAGATGGAATAACTCCTGAATATAAGAACTCATAGCAGCCTTCCAGTATCTGAAGGGGGCCTACAAGGATGCTGGAGAGAGACTCTTCTTTAGGGACTGTACTGATAGGACAAGGGGTGATGGGTTCAGATTTAAAAAGGGGAAGTTCAAGCTAGATATAAGAAAGTTCTTTACTGTGGGGGTGCTGAGGCATTGGAACAGGTTGCACAAAGAGTTGTGAATGCCTCGTCTGTGGCAGTGTTCAGGGCCAGGCCAGGTTGGATGGAGGCTTGGGTGACATGGTCTAAGGAAAGATGCCCTTGCCCATGGCAGGGGGGTGGAACTAGACTATCTTAAGGTCCTTTCCAAACGTAGTTATTCTATAGTTGTATGATTCTAATATTTAAATAGTGAAGTCTTTTTTGCACTGACACTTCTTCAAAGATACAGTTTGTTAAAGAAAACAGTGCTGAAACTAAATTGCCTAAATGAAGTTGGGCTATATTTAATCTTTGTCGTACTATCTTTAAGACACTGGCAGGAGAAAAGTGTTGCTGGTAAAATATCTGAAAGAAATAGGTAGCAGATTAGGAGGTAAATGTTGGTAGTTATTAAATCAACATGTTGATTTGTGTAACATAGGCCAGAACTAATTAATTGTAAGGTCGGGTGACTACAAATAGAGGTTATGGGAAATACAACAGATTGTGATGTTCTGAAGTCTCAATCTATTGCTTCTTTAGGAATAGTAACTCAGGATTGCATTCTAGCACTGTTCTTTATTTTCTT